TCTGTGAACTTGTGAACTCTTTTAGTTCATTTTAATACTTTTTTGTATTTTCCAAAATTTATATGTATATATACAGTGCAGAATTATCTGGTGGATAATGGTGATGTCATACAAATCACATTACAATTCAAATGAATTCAAATTAGAAACACCCTATTAGAAAAAAATTAATTAGCTTAGAGTTAATAGCAACTTATAAAAGCCACTAGTGGCCCAGTGCACGAAATTTGTGCACTTGGGGCGGGGCGGGGGTGGGGGGGTGGGGGGGTGGGGGGGAGGGTCCCCCAGCCTGACCTGTGCCCTGTCACTGTGTGGGAGCTCTGCGATCCATTGCCCCAAGAGGTAGGCCCCGCCCACCCATCCGGGGCTCCTCGATGGATTGCCCCAAAGAGGTAGGCCAGAGCCAGGGGAGACCTGCGGACCCCCGGGCCGGCACAGGGGGTGGGGACGTGAGCCTCACGTCCCAGGCTTATTGCCAGGGGCGGGGATGTGAGCCTCATGTCCCGGGCTCATTGCCGGGGGCAGGGATGTGAGCCTCACATCCCGGGGCCTGCGCAGTGGGTGGGGACGCGAGCCTCACGTCCCAGGGCCCATTGCAAGCATCAGGGACATGAGCCTCATGTCTCTGGGCCAGCGCAGCGGGCGGGAACGCAGCCTGCTGACTGGTCGTTATGTGACGGCATCCCGACCAATTTTCATATTATCCTATTATTAGATAGATTTCTTTTGCCATACAAGCAGAAATTAGGCTCTAAGGGAGCCAGAAAAATGCTCTCTGGACTCAAAAGCCAGCCCATAGTTTGTATGCTTGCTTTGTAAGCAGTATTCTTCAGGCTTACAATTTTCATTCCCATTATATCAAATTTTAATATATTCTAGTGCCCAAGGATAGGCTTATAATCCAGAGAATATAAGATTGGGAACCCTAATATCAGACTGCAATCTAAAGACTAGACTAGAAATTTGCACTTCATTCCAAGAGTCATGGATCCCACAAGTACTAACAAATGGTGTTGTTTGAATAGTCTGAAAGATTATGACAATATTGTAAACTCTTCATCACATGAAAAATTCAGGATAATGAAGCATATTTTAATAATCTCTATCTATAGGCCTACTTTTTTATCTCACTTTGTCTTTTTTGAATTTTTCTGAGAGGAAGGGATTTTCTGAATCCAAAGTTAATCCTGTGCTCTACTGCTTCTATAATAGTATATGCTTTCATTGCCTCTCATTCTCTGCATACTTCAAATTACCCTTATAATGTTTATTCAGCCACCATGCAGCATTTCCTCTTTAATCTTCAGCATACCGTAATCTTAGTCATCAGAAAACATTATCTACATTTCTGAATTACTTACCAAAGTAAAAATGTTTTAAATCATTATAATAAAAAGATAAGGGTATTTAGTGGACAGAGCAAAGATGTGGTTGCTATTCCCTGTGTTTATATAACTTCAAGAAATAGGAAGTAATTACATTTATCTAAGAAATACATAATGAGAGCCTAAACTAGGCATTAATGTGAAAGTCAAGAAGAGCGCTTGTACGTGAGAGAGATTGGAAAATGACGTGCTTCAACAGTGATTCAGGGAAAGGGAGCGGGGACAGTCCCAGTGGAAGTTTAAAGTCTGGTCATAACAGAAAGTGCTTCCACAATCAACTAGGCACCTCAGAAGAAGGAACAGGTTAGGGCAGGAAGGAGATGACTTCAAGTTTGGACATAAAGCTTCTGTAATTATTGTGACATCTAGCCTCTGCTATTCCTCTAGATCTGGACCCTTGAAATGTGGCTAATTTGAATTGAGATGTATAAAGTACACACCAGATTTAGGAGATATAGCACTAAAAAAGAATGTAAAATATCAAAGTAATATTTTTATATTGGTTACATTTTGGATATTTTAACCTGTTTTTGTGTGTGTGTTGTTGTGTGGGTTTTTTTTGGTGTGTTTTATTTTTACCATTTGTTTAATGTAGCTGCTAGGAAAGGTATGTGTCTTACATTTTTGTTGGACAGCACTAATATACATGGAGATTTGTAATAGATAGTTACAAATGCAGGACCAAAATCAGGGCAAAACGTTTAGATTTGGAAATAACCTATGTAAAGGTGATACTTGATGTTATGTGATGATTAGATAAAAATGCCAGTGTACAGGGTATGGAAATGGGGAAAATGCCAACAATTATAGGATGAGAAGAAAAAGAGTAACTAGGAGAAGGAGAATTGGCAAATCAAGACTCTTAAGTGGTAGTTAAGTCTGATTAGGATAGAATTTCAAGAAGGAAGGAGTGGTTAATATCATTGCATGATAGGCCAAAGAGGAAGAGGAGGACTGAGAAAAGGCCATTGAATTTGGTTGATACAGAAGCAGTTTCAATAGAGTATAAAAAGGATAGATTGCAAGAGATTAAGAAGTTAGAGGTTGATGCAATAGGCTGTGTATATAAACTATTCTTTCAGGCAAGGAGTCCACTTGGGAAGATAATAATCACTTGATTGGAGCACAGTCCAAGGAAATGTGATCATGTTTGTTGGCTGAATAAAAGGATCTTTGAAGTAGGAGTGCTTGAAGTTGTAAGAAAGAGAGATAATTTCTATAGTAAGGTCCTAATGCATTGGGTCCCAAACCTGAGTGTTTAATGGAATCACCTGGGGAACTTGTCACAAAAGCAAATTCCCAGGCAGCATCCAATATCTAAAGAGATCATATTCTCTAGAGGTTTGTCTTCTGGAAGTTGTTTTAACAAGCTTTTTAGGTGATTATGATGTATCCATAAGGACAAACAAGTTAAGAAAATTAAAGGTGCAGTTGAGCACATCAGTGAAATGGCTGAACGAATCATCCAGAATGGATAGAGAGCTAATTGGGCTTAGGATAGGACCAGTAGACCATGAACTACGTTAAGGATTTGGCTTTTGTTATTAGAAGAGTAAGCACAGGTTCAGACAAATGAATGAGTGAGAAAGCTAAAAAGGTTGCATGTTCAGCATGGCTCAGTGGTTGAGCATCAACTTATGAACCAAGAGGTCACAGGTTCAATTCCTGGTCAGGGCACATGCCCGGCTGTGGGCTTGATCCCCAGTAGGGCTCATGCAAGAGGCAACTAGTCAGTGATTCTCTCTGATCATTGATATTTCTATCTCTCACTCCCTCTCCCTTCCTCTCTGAAGTCAATAAGAAAAAAGTTTTTTAAAAGGTAATAGATATTGATCAGAAGGAGAGTTTCAGAATTAAGGATCTTGGAGGCCAAGCAGATACATAACATGACTGTGTGTGTTTGATGTGGGAAAGAGGTAAAAAGAAAACTGAGTCACTGACATTGTAAGACCTATCAGTTTGGTAACTCTATTATAGGGCAGTGGTAAAATATATATATGTTTATAATCTATAAATCAGATTTAGAGATCAGGATGAAGAAATAAAGGTTGAATCAGTATAGAATTAATCAGACTTAAGATTCCACTAAACCTTCACATGGGTGTCTGTCTCAGTCTTTGTGATCCACTGTAGCTTTAGTTGAAAATAGAGTGGATGTTTAACATTCACAGATATAAAATTCATAGTTTTGATTATTCACAAGTGACCCTGCCCTAGCCGGCTTGGCTCAGTGGATAGAGCATCAGCCTGTGGACTGAAGGGTCCCAAGTTCAATTCCGGCCAAGGGCACATGCCTGGGTTGCGGGCTCGGTCCCCAGTGGGGGGCATGCAGGAGGCAGCCGATCGGTGATTCTCTCTCATCATTGATGTTTCTGTCTCTCTCTCCTTCTCCCTTCCTCTCTGAAACCAATAAAGAAATATATTTTTAAAAAAAAAACAAAAATAAGTGACCCTAAGGGTTCATCCCAAGTTAATAAGTTTTTCCAAGGCATGAATTTGAATCTCCTGTCCTAAAACTGGCTTGTTGAAACTAGTCACTTAACTAGTGGCTTACAGTGAAGTCACCATTTACATTTCACTTTGCCTTTAATATATGATTGTATTCATCATCAGAATACATTGGTCTGGTAGTTTTCACAGAAGAGGAAATTATTTGCCAAATTGTGGTATTAAGTGGGTATTAAAAGGTATTAAAATTTTTATTGAGTTTATAAAAATTTTAGCACTGCAGCTAACTTGTAATAATTGCTTAATAAATGGTAGTTATTTGTGCCAGTTCAGGAATTCAGTAAGTTTTAAAGCCAAATCTTTTTGGGTATGCCCAGGTTTAGTTATTAGTACTTATATTAAAAATTTTACTTTGATTTGGCTATCCACAAATTATTAAACTGAAACTAGGTTGTTAAATTTGCAAGTAAATTAGAGGGAGAACAATGGGTCATTTATCACTTAACTAATTCTGTTTGATATACTTGAAAGGGGGTATATTTTATAATAATTTATATTATACTAGAGGCCCAGTGCACGGATTCGTGCACATTGAAAGGAAATTAATTAGAAGGTGGCCAGCAGGGCAGGACTGGGCAAGGCAGCCAGACACACCCTGGAACCAATCTCCCGAGGTCCCTCTTCAGCCAGCCGCACCTGGGGCTGCGCCAGGGCTCGAAGGGTGTCTACAGAGTGAGCGGGGTCCCTCCAGCAGGTGGGGTCTCTTGGCCTGGCCTGCGGGGATTGGCTGAAACTGGCAGTCCGACATACCCCAGGGGGTCCCAGAGTGCAAGAGGGCACTCTGCGAAGTTCCTGTCGCTTGGCAGCTCCTGTGTTGAGCGTCTGCTCTCTAGTGGTCAGTGCATATCATACCTACCGGCCGGTCAGCCAGTCGGAGGGTCAGCTGGTTGCTTAGCCTTTTATGTATATGGATAGATTGCTATTATAACTTAAAAATATTCTTTAAGTATATTTCCATACCACAAGTAAACATACACAAAATTAATTACATTACAAGCTGTGTTTTTCTTAGGGATTTAATGCACCTGAAAACCAGAATTACTTGTTTTTGCTAAGCAACTTTCTCTCAGTATATTTTATACTTATGTGATTGTTTTTGCTTTATAGTGAAGAGCTCAGAAAAGAAGCAAGACAATTAAAGCGGGAACTCTTAGCAGCAAAACAAAAAAAAGTAGAAAATGCAACAAAACAAGCAGAAAAATCAAGTGAAGGTAAGGGTATTTGCTTATATTTTAACTTGGTACTTCTTCTTCCTTTATACCTTCAATGTTAAGGTCTTGTATAATCATAGTACAATGGTTAAAACCAAGTAATTAATGTTGATACAGCACTAGTAACTAACTGTAGACCTTATTAGAATTACCTTATTAGAATTGGAATTCACCAGTTTTCCCATTAATGTCATTTTTGTTTTATGATTCCATCCAGAGTTCCATCATGTCTCCTGATCTCACTTAGATATTTTGTAGAATGTCTCACCTTGTTTGTCCGGTGTTTTCTCATGTAATATTGAGATTATGCATTTGGGGGCAAGATTGCCACATAAGTGATATGTCCTTCCCAGTGCATTATATAGATGTAACAGGATGTCTATTGTCTTTTTACTGGTGATATTACCATAATCTCACGGTTAAAGTGATGTCTGCTGAGCTGCTACACTATAAAATTACTCTTTTTCCCTTTGAGATTATAAATATTTGGAGGAAGATACTTTGAGACTATATAAATATTCAGTTTCTTTTCAAGCTTCCCCCACTAATTTTAGCGTCCATGGGTGGGTCTTGTCTGTAGGCAACAGTTATTTACTGTGGTGTTGTAATGGTGAGTTTGTATGTCCCTGATACCTGTTATGTTTATTACTTGGAATTCTTCTGTAAGAGAGAGGTCTCTCTTCTATTATTTATTTATTTACTTATTTATGTCAGTATGGTTAATAAGCATTTATTTTCTATGTTTTAATCCCAAACTGTCATTATTCATTTGTTGTTCAAATAATATCAGCATTGGCCCTTAGTAGCTCTTTCTGGCTGGCCTCTGTCCTTTCATCTTGCCCCATCCTTTGCGTACTCTCTTACTTTCTGGCACAAGATGCTCCCGATTGATCTTGTGTTTTGCCTTCTGCACACCTGGAATCAAGCACTTCTCCAAGGAACTCTGGTTTCTCTTATTGGAGTTTGTATTTAGAAAACAAAATGTGAACACTAAGTTGGTCATTTTATTTTGATTCTATTATTTTTAAGAGTGTTACTAGGAACAATATTATATTGTCACCATCTTCTTAGAATGCTTAACGAAATTCATATTTAGCCCCTATCTGTAATGCGTTATGGGTTACCTTTTTCTTAGGATTAAATTTCCTCTAAACTTATTTTGATCTTTTAAAATAGACAAGTGTTGCTGATAAGATGTTAAAAAATTATTTAGTATGAAAGATTTATGAATATCAGTAGACATTATATTTTATTTGTTATTTACATGTTTCTTTGAAGTTTTTAAGTATAGTAGTCTTTCTTCCCCAGGATTGAAAATGATACCATGAGCCATCTCACTGCATAGCATTGTGGAAACAAAGTAGAATTTTAGGCATCCTTGAACGTTTGTAGAATTTAGCCTATCTTCCCAGCCAACAGATACTCCAAGATTAGGACTATGTAAACTCTGGGAGCAGATCCAGAGGTTCTCATATGCATTTGCATGGTGAGATTATCACATAAAAAGAAGTAGGAAAGTGTTATTTGACCATGACTTTATAACATCATTCATCAGTTGAGCTGAATACCCTCATGAATCTGTTCAGGAAAGATTTCTTGTTTGGGCTATATGGCTACATATCAGGCTTTTATAAACCATTTTCTTTTAATCCAAGATTAAATTATTTGAGTATTATAGCAACTCTGTATGATTTGGTCTTTTGAACATGATTTGAAAAGACTGAAAATGCCTGGTCGTACTTTCCTGTTTGTTTGTCTGCTTGTTTATATCTAGCTATTTAATTTGCCAATAAACTTAGAAGTAGATAATCAATATTAAAAAAGAGGCTTGTGGATATTTTGTTGTATAGTAAATTGTGTAATATAGACTTACCTTTCACAGGAATTTTTTTTTATCTGGATGCGTAGACTACATCTGCTAATAACAAAGGGACTAAAAATACATTAATTTTATTTTTCATAGTAATTTTGACAGTAATATTCAGTGCTCAATATATGTAACACTAACAATTATAAGAATCCTTTGGAATATTATAATTTCTCAAAAAATAAACAGGAAATGAAATTCCCATTTGACCCAGTAATCCTACTTCTAGGAATATATCCCAAGAAATCAGAAACACCAATCAGAAAGGATATATGCACCCTATGTTCATAGCAACACAATTTACAATAACCAAGATTTGGAAATAGCCTAAGTGCCCATCAGCAGATGAGTGGATTAAAAAAACTGCGGTACATCTACACAATAGAATACTGTGCTGCTGTAAAAAAGAAAGAATTCTTACCATTTTGCAACAGCATGGATGGACCTAGAGAGCATTATGCTAAGCGAAATAATCCAGTCAGAGAAAGGTAAATATCACGTGATATCACTCATTTGTGGAATCTAATGAACAACATAAACTGAAAAACAAAAATAGATCCAGAGACATAGAAACATCGAACAGACCATCAAACCTCAGAGGGAAGACAGGGGAAGGTGTGTATGGGGGGGGGGGGGGGGGGTGTAAGAGATCAACCAAAGGACTTGTATGCATGCATATAGGCATAACCAATGGACACAGACAGTAGGGGGGTGAGGGCATATGCTGGGGGTGGAGACAGCCGGGGAAAGGTCAATGGGGGGAAAAAGGAAACATAATACTTTAAACAATAAAGAATTTAAATTAAAAAAAAATAAACAGGAAAGTACTAAGACCAGGCATTTTCAGTCTTCTCAGTAAAGCTCAAGATCTGATATTCCTTATATCATAAGGATATTGTCAGATAATGGATATAATTATAGATCTGTATAAGAAGAGCATTATCTAAACATGACCTGTTCACTTCTGTCATTGGTTTGCCATCTATTTACTTTTTAAAAGCTTCAGATAATTTATAAAAGAAGTCTTTAGTAAATGAAAAGAAAAGAATGTCAAGGGATAAAATCATTATAGTCATACTAGAAGTCCGATGCACGAAGATTCGTGCAAGAATAGGCCTTCCTTCCCCTGGCTGCTGGCATGCGGCGGGCTTGCTCTGGCTGCCTGTGCAGCGGCGGCAGCAGTGGCAAGCCCCTCCGCTTCCTCCTCACCCTCCTTCTCCAGAGAGTTCCTCTGGCACTCCCGGGGCGGTGCAGAGGGGAAGAGGTGGGGGGAACGAGGCAGGCGGGGAGGACTGGAGAGGTTGGGTGCGCTAGTGCGTTTCACTTTCCCATTGTGAAACTCGGATGCAACTGTCCCCCTTCCTCATCCTCTTCCTCCTCTGCCCTCCGCCTCCTGCCTGCCCACCCTCCTTCCATGCCCATTGCCCCTCCCTTCTTGATTTGGCGAGATAGGGAGGAGGGAGATCGGATAATTTGGGTTACTGTGTAGGTGACCTCTTTCATCTATTCAAAACAAAGCTGAGCTACCTGCTGCTGCTGCCATGGCAGCCACCATCGCCCCTTGGCTGGCCCGGGGCTGCCGGGGCACGCTAACTGTGCACCGAGCGAGCTCCCGCCTGTACCCACGGGGCTTCTCCAACACTAGGGTTTTGTTTACTAGAGCAGTGGGGCAGAAATGGGATAGAGCAGTGGTTCTCAACCTTTTGGCCCTTTAAATACAGTTCCTCATATTGTGACCCAAACATAAAATTATTTTCGTTGCTACTTCATAACTGTAATGTTGCTATTGTTATGAATCGTAATGTAAATATCTGATATGCAGGATGGTCGTAGGCGACCCCTATGAAAGAGTCATTCGATTGCCAAAGGGGTGGCGACCCACAGGTTGAGAACCGCTGGGATAGAGGGAGACACCAGACACTGGGAGCTATGACCTCAGGCACCAGAAGGTTGTCTCTGAGGCCGGGAGCTGGGCCACTGGGAGGCTGCAAGGACGGTTGACAGGTGTGGAGTGCGGTAGGTAGGCCCTGAGGAGGCACGCTGCCAAGAGACCCAGAGCGGCCGGGGGGCAGGGCCACTGCTAGCTTTGTTGGGTTAATTTGCATACTCACTCCTGATTGGTTGTGGACATCACAAAGTGATGGTCAATTTACATATTTCTCTTTTATTAATATAGATAACTAGAATTTTTATAGTAGCATGAAATTGAACTTAAAATTCTAAGAAGTTTCATATCTTGTTGAATGCAGAGTTGCAGTAGGCTGTAACATCCCAATGTAGGTAAACAAGAAGTGTGGTGTTTTACTTAGAGACAGCATTGTCAGGAGAGATGTGCTGCAGGACAGTTCTGTTTGCAGCCCAGGAGTCTCGTTAGTCCCCCTGTAAATCATCCAGGCCTGTAAAGAGGACGTTTGGGGGGGGGGGTAATAAATTTTAAATAAAATTGGTAGTTAATTGGAGGCAGAGTTAGTTTCCTGTGTTGGCTCTGTCAAGTACTTTAATAAACTATATAATCCTTTTCATTAAATTGTGTTTCTAAGTACTTCCCAGGTTTCTTTAAGTTGCATCATATCAAACTAGTACCAAAATGCACATAGTCACTTAGAGATATAGTTTTGGACTATTCTCTAATCAGCTTTAGGGAGATAAGGTGTCAGATCCTCTTTTCAAAGTTCTAAGCACACAATACCTGCTCTATAGCTAGTGCCAGAAATTAGAGGAGGAAGGGGCAACCGGAGATTGTAAATCAAGAAAGAATTTTAAAGCCTCTTCATGAAGCACATCCCTGAGGTGCTTAGTTCCTCTCAAATTGCACTGGTCCATTTCAGGCTTCTTCAAACTGTCTTTTTAATTCTGGATTAAGTCAGACTAGGGCCCCTCAGGTTTTATAGGTTATGAAAGTGTATCTATAGTTTTTTACTACTTTTCATCTATCTAACCTATAATGTTAAACTAGCTTAATCTTGGTTTTTATAAGAAACAAAAATCCCTTTGGAATGTTAGCTTTGTGCTGTGTCCGATACCATGTAGAATTAATTCCTCTTTTTGAGCAAACTAAGCAAAAATCCTTTTTTCAAGGATTTTTCTTCAGGTACTCTTGAATTATTTTTCTTGGGAGTCAGAAGTATGAGTC